AGAACTGGAACAGTAGTAACTCTGCAAAAGAAAAGAGACCATAGAGATTGTTCCAATTATCGGGGCTGGAATGCACCCGAACGTATCTAAAACGAAAAACCCAGTGCTTTCTCGTTCTCCTGCTTGTTCCTCCCTTCAGATAAACGGAGAAGCCGTGTAGCAGATAGAGAAATTCAAGTACCTTTGAGTCGTGTTTGCTGGTGATAAAAAATTTGAGGAAAAGATCGACCGGCATAGAGGAATTGCCAGTGAGGTGCAGTGAGCTAGTCGGAACTATTGTGACCTACGCAAAACTGAGTCTGGCTTCTAAGTTATCAGTTTGCAGGTCGATTTTCATCGCAGTGCTCACACATTATAAGGAGTCTTCGGCCATGGGTGAAAAACTGATGATACGACGTACAGAAATTCGAGTCAGTGTTGGTGCACAGTTGCTGCTTCGTCAGACTGAGAAGTCACAGCTACGATGGTTTGAGAAAGGAACGCGAAACAGCTACTTCATGCTCCACCGACGAGTTGAAGACCTGATCAAGAAAGATCTGGGAAAAGAGTCGATAAATTGCTGCAGATTTGGATATTCTTTTGCCGAACGTCAAACCCTGGCACAAAATCGGGAACGCTGCAAATACTATATCACCAATGACTCCGCGATCCAACGTGATAATCAGTCATCAAAACTGACTGATCGACTGAGTAACTGAGTGAGTGTTCGACTGAGTAAGTGAGTGAGCGAGTGACCTACGATATTCAGTAACAAGTTGTCGACTTGAATGTCTGAACTGACGACATGACAGCGCAAAACGCCACAGAAATGAGCTCGACTTAAAATAACGACACTTGAGATTACCAGCAATCAAGTTATATACGCGCAAATATGTTTATTTACAAATGGACTCGATTCGTTGCTCCCTACAGGGGATTAGTAAGCGTCGACGTGTTGATGGAACATCAACTGGATGAGTGACCTCAGCGCCTCACAGAACTCACGTACTACGCAAAGAACACGAAGTTGCGCAGTCACACAGATGCTTATCAAGAGGAAACTTCGTCGAGCATTTCTGTGCACGTTTTTCAAAACACAGTTGTTCCAACTTCAACGACGAAAACCAAACCGGATAAAAAACGTTAAAGTTAAAGAAACGCGTGCTCTGAAAGTTCAAACTAGTCAACAGTAAATTTTACGGTAAAAACGCGAAGTAATCGAGGATGCTCACATCTGACGATCTAAATGCTGAGATCAAATCGGCAATGACGAATATTACCGGCAGATGAAGTGGACAGAGACATGAGGTAGAAGTTCGAAGAATAATGTTATGCCGGACTGATCAAACTTCACCATCACCTCGTTGCTGATTTTAACATATAAAGCATGAAGCACCTTCGGTTCTACCTTCACTGCAGTAAGCAGTTGCCATCCTTGTTAGGACGACAGACGACATGAAGTAAAGCGTATCTGATATGCCCTCTTTGAGTTTAACACAAAACGACAGACGTCAACAGATCCGTTGCAGATTGTAGACTGAGTATTTGACTGTCAAGGCACAACAATGCATGTTCGCATGTTCGGTATTAAGTAGCCAGCCAACTGGCGTTCGTAGTGCTTCTCGGTCGTCTGACATGTGGCGCGTTGAGGAGAATGTCTGACTTGCGCGAATCTCTCCTTCGGCATTCTGTTCATCTACCCAAGAATCGGGACTGTGAACCGCTGACCCCTTAATTTCGAGAATGCGCTGTTCACAATCGAATGCATGCTGGATTACGAGTATCAGAATTTTGTCCAGTCCGTCACACCAGCCACCGTTCTCCTCGAACAAACCTCATTTCTACCCTTGTGTTTGCCATGGTAGGGTGAGTAACTGGCGCATTTATGACGACAAGTCCTACGAAATAAAAAACAGCCTCAACAGACCTGCACGACAAAATATAATCCTTAATGGCAAACAGTCGTGTCTGCTACATACAAATATAGGTATTCCATCAGAGAATACGGGCGGTATCCATTTGTGGATAAGAAACTTGAATGCTGAACAGAAAAGCGGCTGCACATCAACAAGAAAATGTGGAGCAAGGAACAAACCAAGGTAAAGAAGTAGCAGTTAGAACAATGAAAGTGAAACGACATCGAACCGAACTCATTTGAAGACGAACCAGCAGTGGTTGGAGCATATGAATGGTTAACTACTAAAGAGAAGAATAAGCACACGTACGTTTGTCAGGTCCGTAAGATCAGTACGGATGCGGGAAGCACGAGAGATCGGTGGATCCAACTTGGGGATGTCTTTGCTAAAGTGTACGAGCTGGTGACAATGATGACGATGCAGCACCTGCCTCGAACGCTGTTCTTTCTGGCGATTATTCCCTTGAGCCATTTGCATTAGCAAAATGTCCCCGGTTTATAACAGTAGCTGTACAGCACTTTCGCTACAATTCACCGGTGATGATATCGAACAGAGAAGAGTAGTTCAACAGTGAACGTAGATTTGCCTTGTTTGTCAGTGTTACATGTTGGCCATCTGATCGACATCAGCTATGTTTTGGTCTTGATTCACACACGAAACGCTTCGAGGCCAGTGTAAATGATTTATCCTAACCGAGCTTGTGTGAGACAGTCAACTCAACCTAATCCTTATCTTTACATTGCCCAGGATACTGTGCTCGAAAAAAATAGTCTCATTAATTGCATAGTCCCGCTACTTAAATCTCATGGGTTGCAACCAGTGTTGTTTCTTGATCACTCGTCATACGAAAGTTCTGTGCCGTCAAACAACATCGTTCTGGCCGAGACGTGAAACAGACGAGCTTTTCTACAAAGGGATATTCGAATATCACCTGAAAGACTTCGATACAGACAGAGGGCAGCGCTGGGAACTAACACCGTCCAAACCACCGTAGGCACGGCGCCGTGTCATGCTTCGCATATTAATGCAACAATCTCAGTGATGCTTAAAAATAGGTAGATGAAAATAAGCAGAATCGATCAGTAGTAACGCACATGTCGAAAAAGCACACACCACAATTAGAACAACGAGTTCGTGATCATACACAGCAACGAGAAATTCCTTAGCCTATTTCTTACAACTTCATGAAAATATATTTTCAATTCAGGAAGCAAAATAGGCATCGCAGAAAAAGCACACGGCAATCAGGGCAAAGAACCTCTCCGAACGACCGCTCCAAAATCTCGACGCCGACATATCTAATGCTCAGGGTGTTGAAGAAGGAGATTAAGTGGCTAAACAATTTGAACGATAGGATACGAGTCTGGCAATCACCGTCAGCTATACCAGAGGAGAAGAATTAAGGAAAAATCTGAACAATGATGAAAATCTGGTTCGTGTTTACACCGACATTTGACGCTGATGTACAATTCAATCATTTACAGAAGCACCGCTCAAGGTTTTGTCCATAGCTTTATTTTTTGTTTTATCCGAGCCTTCAGTCATGTGCTATTTATTTTGGGCAGATATTAATTTTTTGTCTATACTGAGAAACAGGATGCTTTGATGATGGCATCTGTTAGAACAGGGAGAGATGACAACGGTGGACAAAAAATTATTT